TTACATCTGAGACGTCATTGTATTCGGATTGAGACATATCGGAGTCTGACAACTCCATTGTGAAGTCCTCGCTGTTTGAGGGATCTTCATCTGTTTTGGGCTGTTTGTCAAACAATCCCTGGGTCCACTGGGGGGCGGAGAGCCTTTTGTAGCTCTAACTACTGTTTGTTTGGCTTTTCTCATTTCAGGCTTTGTCACTGTGTCTTTCTTTTTCTTTGCTGGCTTTATCTGGGTAAGGTCAGCTTGTTCTGGAATTGGCTGCACAAATTCAGATTTGGCTCTGCCTGTGAGAGCATGGCCAGGTTGGAGTGGGGAGGGGGGTCTCGTCCTGGGGTGAGAGTGGGGCTGGTTTGGCTCTGTCCAGCTTCCTTCCCTTCAGGTCTGCAACAGTCTGGGTGATTGCCGTCATGGCGACCGTGACTGCCTTCTCTGCCTCCTCACTCGACCTCCCCAAAGCTGTTGCTACTGCAATGACTACAGCAGCCAGCAGGAGAGTCGTATCTTCCTCATCAAGGAGATTATCATCTCTTGGGGAGGTTTTTGTAGTGCTCTTTGAACTTTTGTTCCTCTGGTTCTTTTTCTGCACTTTTGGAATAATATTGGAGATATCAGGTGTCGGCTTGAGCGGAGCTTCCTTTCTCTTAGGTTAGGAAGCCTTTTCTCTTTTATTCTGTTCCCATAGGTACCTGGGGGGTGCAAGAACGAAGTCTGGTCGATTTTTAGCAAACTCTTGTCACCTGAGGGCCGCCTCTTTCCTGACAGAGCAAATCAGGCTTCAGACATGATGCCTCTTGGCACAGTTGGGACATTTGGCTGTTGTATCTCTTTGCTCTTCCTTGTATGCCTTAAGGCACACCTCGGTGCTGTGTGCCTTGCTACAGACACCACATTTGGGATTGGCCATGCAGCTAGCCTGGTGGTGACCGTATTTTTTGGCATCTGAAGCACCGAAGTGGTTCAGGCACATGAGTTCCTAAGTTAAATGTGCCCCAGTTACCCAGATCAAGGGATAGTGGTTGGGGCTCCTTTCAGGGTCACCAGGACTTACTTGGTTGGGGTCTTCCCTTTCGACATTCGGGATGTGATCAGATCCACATCATATGAAGCCAAGTAGCACCATCTTGACTTTCTTATCGTCGGGATTCAGTGGTGAGACACACACTTCCCTCCCATCTTTAAGTTCCTTCGTTTCCTGCAGGAAATTCAGGGTAGCTTCGTCTTTGGGCACAATAATCATGCCCTGGTCTCTGGCAACCCGGATTGACATCAATCCTTTGACCAGTTGGTAGGCAATGTCGAAGCCTTCGGGTTTAGAGGGAACCTTAAACTGTGGGAAATGCCTAGGGGGTCCAGACTCTCCCTGAGAGTCTGTCTCCGGCCTAGGTCGTTTCGGATCGCCATTTCGGCTTGGATTATAGCTTTGGTAGTGGGGGCAGCAGCTGTTTCAGCTGGCTCAGCTTGCGCCCTTATCTCCGTAAGGGAGGACGTCTGAGGGGAACTCAGAGGCCTCCCTGGTTTGTGTGTAGGCCTGGTGAGGCCAACACGAGAGTCCATCTGCTGGATAATTTCGTGGACAGACATGTTTTTGTCAGATTGTTTCTCAGTCTTGTCCATCTTAGCAGCAGGTCTGACAGAGTCATCCTGTGCTTTGCATTTTCGTTTGCCACTAGAAGCCATGTATGGCTTCAAAGTGACTGCCTTAGTCTGGGCCTTGCAAGGTTTGCCATCATTTGTATCTTTTTGTGGAGGGTTTTGTCAAGTTTCTGCCTCTCACGCCCCCACCCACCACAGAGTCCAACAAGGGGAAGCTATATGTTATAGCCAATGTCTAACAGATACAGGGGTGGTGAGAGGATATATGCAGCCAATAGCTATTGTAACAGCACTCACAGACCAGTGTGAGTGCCAACGGCGGCATGACTGCTTGACCCTAGCCTCCCGAAGGAGACCAGCCAATTGACTTGCCGGGCCAGGATCAGGCCACATATCTTGCTGGAATAAGGGACGAAAGAGGCGTGTTGGTACGCACGGCAAACACGTGGGTAGGTGTGAACCCCTGGGGAGAGACCAGAGGAGATGCCCTTCCACCTACAAGATAGGCGTCATTATTTGAAAACCCTCTGTTCACCCCTCTCAAGTGAAACAGCCATCCAAAGGCTGATTCAACTCAGAGAGGGAGGGAGCTCAAATTCTGCACCATTTCAAGGCGGTTTCAGTGGCAGGACTTTGCTGGAGCTTGTTGAACGATCTTTTTATTTTGTATCAAATGCGTTTGCCTTCAACTTGATACGGTTTGATACACCCCGCCTAGCCAATCGGAACGCGATATTTTCCAGATATATTTAACGTAGTCTCAGATAGGGATTTATATTTGAAATCAGTCACGACGGTCGCTGGAACGACATGGTAAGAATTACCAACGTGTCCGAATCATGTGACGGTATTGACTTCGATGGGATGAATGTCTTCGAAATCATTTTGTACGTCTATGGTATAACTTTATAAGTTCAAGAATATCGAAGAAAATGCTGAGTATCTTGATTTTTCATTCAATGAATCAAGTAAATGTCAATGATCATTGGAATTACCCAGTTGTCTGATTTGGACACGGAACTTCCATTCTTCAGAGTTGCAGAGTAGTCAGGTACTATTTCAATTTTATATGAGGCTTCCATAACGTTTTGCTTGTATTTAAAAATCACACCAGCAAATCAAGTACCTTAATAGTTTTCTCTTAACTTTCCATGTGAAAGGAAAGTAAAAATCACTTCAACTTTTCTCAGAACTTTGTATGTATGTACAAACTTCGATGATATCGTGTTTTGTAGCGATACAACTTGAAACAATGTATCAACGTGTTAAGGGTTTCGGAATGCTACAAAAAAGGCCTATAATTATCAAGAACCAATCTAGCATCACGCTTGAAAATGATAACTAATCTTTTTAGCTTCCATGATGAGGGATAATTCATCTTCAAGTGTCTAACACCGACGAGGGCGCATGGCCGCATCCAGCCTTTGCTTCCAGCCACAAGGGTCCCTCATGGCGAGGGATAAAACTGCCAGACAAAAATATGGTATTAGTTAGGGTGGTGATAGAGAGGATCCACTGCGGGGGCAGCACTTTAAATATACATGGGCATTAACCATCTGGTCCGCCTGCTCTATCCTGTTTTAGTCTTTTATACAAGTCTTCAAAAAGGATCTGAATTGATTGTCATTAGGACACAGTTGGTTGCTATTTATTTCTTTATATTCTCCTTCCCAGTCTATAGCTCTTCACACTCGACACTTTTTAGTTTAACTCACAGTTCAGTTTCGCGGTAGCTCTCTTTGTTATGTTTGTATAGAGCATTTGCAAAAAAAAAAAAATCAGTATATTCATTAATGCTTTCATTTTCTTTTAGTACGGGCATATGCTGGGTGAGTATGTCACGGAAGACATTGATTTTTACTAATGGTTTTACCAAGACATTCCAAGACGTGGCGGGACGACTGAAATTGCGAGAGGAGCGTGGTCGGACGAGAGAGATGCATCTCGCCACACCACTAAATCATTCAAGTAATTGATCATGCTGGCGAACTGCACATATCCAGTTCCGATTTACACTCGGCGGCTATTCTGTACGTGAGAACACTCTGGAAGTGATGCGTGGGTGATATCAGGTTCTTGATGACAAGCAGTTTAGCGTCAATACAGAGGGTAGCTGGGATTCTGGCGCTGTCGTTCACGGGATCAGGAATGCGCGGATACGTGTAGAGGTGACCGCTAGGTATATCGGCATCTCGGGGTAGGTCTGACACGGACGTGTCAAACACACATATCCCCAAGGATCATGCTGGAATACGCTGAGTCGGATGGCGGTACATACGCAAACCCGAACAGCATATCCTCCATGCACGCCTAACGTAGCCACACCC